TCCAGATTCTGAAGAGACAAGAAGTCACACACAGCCTCGCTGTCATGGAAGCTGTCTGTACTATCAAGATAGGGAGCCACATCCAGCACTTTGCCAGGTCATGAGAGAGGTTATCTTTCAACCTTCAGATACTGTGGAGTTGCCCTTCAAGGGTATATATACCCTGCAATTAGAAAACTCACAGCAAAATTACCCCTCCTTTCACCTGTGTAAATTCTGCTTAGCATCATCCAAACCTACATGTCCCATCAACCACCAGCTTCTCTTACAGCCATTAAACTTTGAGTCCATTGGCACCTTTAAGACTAACAAAGTTTAATTCTGGGTATAAGCTTTTGTGTACATGCACACTTCATCAGATATCTGATGAAGTGTGCAGGCACACAAAAGCTTATACCCAGAATTAAATTTTGTTAGTCTGAAAGGTGCCAATGGATTCAACATGGCTATGCACCTGAAGCCATTAAACTTCTTCTTCCAAACCAGGTTCATTAACAAGTTTAATTCAGATTTTTACCATACCCCAAAAGAATAAAAATGCAGACCATCCAGGCGCTGAAGTGTTTCAATCACATGAAAAACAACACGTAAGGACAAGGGCCCTTTATGTATAATTGCTTTAATCATACACAAGGACTTGCTGCCTTTTAATGACCTGCATGTTCAGCAGCTATAAAATGACTTTCCTATGCTGTATATACAGAGAACCACTGCCATGAGCACTCTCATTTTGTCAGCACCAAAGGTGCTGGTGGCTCTAGTGGCATGCCATCATGTCTAGAGTTTGCTAGTCTCTCTGGATTACATCCTCATCAAATCACACCACTTCCAACAAGGGATGTAGTACCTGAAAACCTTTTCCTGTCTTGAAGACCATGGGTTCACTGGCAACAGAGCCAAAAGCACCTTTGAAGCCAGAACACTGTACATCTGGATGTGAACATAGTCACCCAAGTTAACAAGATTTCCTTATTATAGACAGATCCAGAACTTGCTATACCACACAGTAGAATGGCCATCAAGCTGATCACATGACTTCATCATGACTTTGGGGCACACTGCTTTTGTCCTGGGATATGATTCCATGGACATCCATTCATACACAGGGAGTTTAACAGGTTGCTGCTGCCCTTTCAAAAGCTGTGCTTTGGGGTTGCCAGCAAAAGCTTTTTCCAGCAAAGAAGCACAAAGAATTTTAGTGGTGGTTGACCACTTGTCACTTAGCCTCAGGGTCCCTTATTCAGGAATCAGCTAATCAGGACAAATGCCAGTCCAACAGGTCGGAGAGTTCATCTCCAGGACAGATGGCTCAAAGAAACTGGTTCAATGTTGACTGCATGGGGAGCATACACTGGTTGGTACTTATACTGATATAACTCATGCTGAATACCTTTTGAGATCAGACCATAGGCAAGTATATGGTGATCCACAGTCAGTGTATGTTCTAAAACTCATACAAACAGGAAAGATGCCACAAGGTGAAGAAACCTCCACAATTAAGTCTGGGGGGTGTTGATCTGGTGAACTGTCACAATACATTGCTGGGGAGTCAACCATGACAGCAGACTGGCTCAGCAGAAGAACCTTGGGCCAGACAGAATGGCATCTGTATCTGGAGATCATTCAACACTAAGAGGTTCAAGATGATCTGGGTGGGCCTTGTTCACAGCTCTGGAGAGTTATCAATTCTTCAAGCTCTTTGCATAGCTTCAGTGTCTAGAGCCAGGGCATCCACACTGCCTTGGCTCAGAATTAGCCGGATGATCCAATGCAGGCCTTTTCTCCTCTCTCACCTGATCTCCAGGTTCATAAGAAGACACTGAAGCATACGGTGGCGGCTATCCTGATTGCCCTACTCTGGCCTAGAGGAATGTGTTTCACCTACTATGAGTTGTCAGCCCAGCCAAACATGGCTACTTAGGGGCTGGTGAGCATCTTTAGACCTGTTACAACTCGTAGCCTGGACGTCCAATAGCAAATTAGGTTACACTGACAGTTTCAAACCACTCAAATATCTTTGCATAGTCAAGCCACCAACAGGCCATATAAACCCCCCCCCCAATATGACAACCAGGGGATTGAACCAATGGCTACCGATGTCCGTTCTCTTCTAGAGTTTTTTCAAGGTGGCCTTGATAAGGACCTGAATATTGACAGGATGAAGAGACTGGTATTGGCTTTGTCTCACATTCTTGCCCACAGAAAGGGCAGGTCTCTTTTGTACACCTACCACATTAGTAGATTCCAGACAGAGTCATCAATCCTCCTCAAATTCAGATTCCCTACTTAGTGGTACTGTCAGCCCTGACTAGATCATCTTTTGAGCCACTCAGTGCATACCCATGTAGAGTTGTCATTCAAAATAATAGTTTTCTAGTAGGGATTCAAGATCATGGAACTTAATGCTGTCTCAATAAATAAGAAATTGTGTGAGGATAGGATTCAGGACATAGCCTGCCCTTTTCTAAAGATTGATTCTTAATTCTTCCTTCCATGTAAATCATGCGTACCCCAGAGAAAAGCAGGAGCCCACCTTTGACATGAGAAGAGCTCAGCTTCTACCTTTAAGGAATCTAAGGAGTCTTGATAGGTGGAAGCCCTTTTCATGTCATTTAGGCATGTGTGTTCTATGGCTTGTTGCCATAATAAATGCCTGCCTGATTGACTGATCTTAGGCAGTGTTGCCATAATAAATGCCTGACTGACTGATCTTAGGCAGACTTCCATGTGGGCAGGAGTTTTTCTCAGGTAGCTGAAAGACTGCATAAAGAGGGTATATCAACATTGAAATCCTGCAACCTGGCTGACCAGGGAGCTGCCATTACTGTTAGTCAAGATTGCCTTTCCTTGGAACCACTAAGAATGAAAATTCGCAGGTGTGACCAGCTTATCCGTGTTTAATTTGCATAAAATATATAAAATGCAGAATTTTTATCAAGTGTTGCACATTCTAGTCCTGCAAGACGCACTTCTACGTAGCCATCCTCTCTCCAAAAAACACAGATGTAAAATGAGAACCAGATGAATACTGACAGGTAAACTTTTAAAAACATCAACAACCTGGAAAATCCCCCCCCCCCCAAAAGCACTTCTTTAAAATTAAAATGCTAATCAGTTAAAAATTCTAGCTGAGAAAAGTCCCGAACAAAACAGCACACACTTAAAACCAAAGAAACTATTTTAAAAGAACCATAAAGAGCCTCACACAAGCTACAGTGCACCAGGCAAAAATTTAAAAACAGAAAGTCTTGAAACAGTGTTTTAAATAATACTTTAAAACAAAGTGTATGGTAAGCCAGTTCTGGCACAAAACAAGAAGGGGGCCTTCCCAGGCAGGCAGCAGAACTAATCCAAAGCAGACAGCAGACAGAGGCAGACACACCAGCCCTTTCGAAAAATCTCACCTTGAAGTCGAGACAAGCTGCCTCCAGGCCTACCTTTTATCCATTTTGCCCATGCTCAGAAAGGTGTGCACTACGTATGAGAGAGTGACTGTGACTGGATAGACAGAGATTCCCCTGTGATCCCATTTTCCTAGGAGAGTTGTGTCACCTCCTTCCCTCCTGTTGCTCAGGAAACCAGTTGAATAGGGGAGGAAAACACTCTGGCCTGAAATCCTTAAAATACCAGTCCTGGATATATCTGAGTATTTCTAGAAATATTCATAACCTAGATACTGGTAATCCTAAGAATCCTGAATATCATTCAGATACCTGAAAAATACTGGTAAGGTGTTTCTCAGGTATATATTTGGACCAGATATATCCTAGCCCCCATCCTTAGCAGTGGCAGAGACGACGTCACCATGTAGGGCCAGGGTTATGAATTGTAACTGTGGGCAAATGTATAAGGGCTGTTACTCTTGTCTTTCTAGAGCCTGTATCAACCAGCACCTGATGAACAACAAGGACTGTTTCTTCTGCAAAGCCACCATTACGGGTGTGGATGATTACATTAAACCAGCCACCTCCTAGTGCCTGGACCCTGCAGGGCAGGGCCACATGCCTGGGCAGCTTCACCACACCGTGGACTCCCCCTGCTCCAAGAGGACCTCCATTCAAAGACAGCTGCAGTTCAGCTCAGCTTTATTTATAACATCTCTTACAGACCAGGCAGTGCTGTATGCACTACCTAGGCCACACCATACCCCTCAGTTCCCCCTGAATTTAGGTACACTTCCTGTGGCTGTCATTGGCTCCAAGCCAGCAGGTGTTGGACTGTCCCCATGGGGGTATATACAAGGGGGCCGAACGAGCTCAGGTTTTCTACCTCAGCCTGAATCTGTAGCTCCTTTTCCTGCATCTGGCCCAGGAAGCCTGTCTCATGCTGCTGCTGGGACACATCCTCATCTGCGTGGTGCTCTCCCACAGCCAGTCTTCTCTTGTGAGGCCTGCTGCCTACTAGCCAAGTGTGTTCTTGCTGCTGTGCTGCTGCTACTGCAGCGCTTTGCCGCTTGACAGTGTATGTGTGGATCAGATATTTAGGTGGGCATACAGTGCAGTAACCTATGTGCCTACCACCTGCTGTGTTAGCTTTTAATACAGAGGGAGATTGCGACATAGGGAATATTCCAAACAAGTGATTTCCCCAAGTGGTGCAGCTTTTTTTAATTTACTGTGTGATTTGTAACCAGAAGCACTGGGGAGGGCAGCAAACAGTGTGCTTGGAGCAAGGAATTTAACTTATGTGCATCTACAATTGTTTCTCCTTCCCCCCACCCACCCAAGGGAGTGTTACTTCCATACAATGGATTATTATTAAATTATTATTCCTTACAGGTGTGCTGTGTATTCTTTTTCACGATTATGGAACACCATCTTGGAGCTAGGGTCTAATTTGTAAAAACAAAAGTACCAGTCAGTGTTGGGCCTGGAAGCGTCAGGAATATTTAGAAGAAAGGGAGCTGCTCTTAAGGACTGTCCCATCTGCCAAACATACCAAAAGAAAACATGAGACACACATCAGTTCTTATTGTTCATTACCATATAATTTGTGTTTGTTTCCAGTAGCTGACAGCACCCTGCACCTACTTGGAATAATACCATTTGTGATGATTGGCCATAGGGAGGTGGCGGGTTTCAGTCTCTGTAAGGCAGTCGAGTTCCAAAGAGGTACTGAAAGAAGACTGCATTCAGACTTCCTCCTCAGCAGCAAGAGCCATAACAGCACAGCATGCCACTCATTCTCCTCCACAGGCTGAACCTGGGTCAGTTCCTTTGCAGTCTAATCACTGCCATTCCCACTTGCTTGCTGTTGTAGCGGGGGCCATCTCTTGCTCAGGGCCACTTTCCATGGGTCCTAGCCTTTGCAGCAGGACGAGTGCAGAGCTAGCCCAGGTCTTCCTGATTTGTCCTCTTCCCAAGCAATGCATCTGAGTTGTCTGAAACACCTTGTGCAGATCCTGGTCCTCCCGTACATCTCTACAGGACCCCAACAAAGGGCTTAGGAGTTCAGCAGCAGAGGCAAAGTAAATACTTGAATTCGGAAATCAGAGATCCCCCTGCTGCCAAGGCACAGGGTGGGGATGGCCCCAGTATAGGCAGGGCCTTGGGGGGTGGGGGCGCTAGTCCCGCACTAAAATCCCAGAATGGCTACATGATGATGCGTGGCTCTGGCACTGACTCGGCAATGGATTTGTGAGGCAGCACATTGGCACCATTGAGGTAGAGTTCATCATTCACAATGACATCCTCACCGAGTACTGTCACATTCTCCATCCGCACCTAGAGGAAAGCACAGCAGATAGATAAACCTTCTGCCTCTTAAGGCTAGCTGGGGGAAAGTAGCATTTTGCAAGTTCAACTTCAGCTAGCATGGAGGTTATAGGAGTTTGTTACCTCCGTGACACAGTTGTCTGCCAGCTTAACAGCTACAGCCCAGGCACAATGGCAGGTCTCCCCAGTGCCCCAACCCCCCCCCCCCAAGACAATTTGCCCATCCGCAAGGAACAAACTGACACTACTTAAAGCACACGCAGTGGGGAAACTGTAAATGGGCAGGTTACACTGTTTTGAGACTCTGTGAATCACAAGAGGATATAGAGCACATCCCAAATATATGACTGACAGAGAAACAATGGCATGTGGGGAAATTCGTCCAGTGGAGGAAATCTGGCTGGCAAACTGGACCGCTGGTGTACATTTTGCTTTCCAGAAAGTAAACCCTGTCACTCATGGTAACTTACCCACTGGCCTACAGAGGAGCTCCAGCCATGAGCACATCCCAAATATATGACTGACAGAGAAACAATGGCATGTGGGGAAATTTGTCCAGTGGAGGAAATCTGGCTGGCAAACTGGACCGCTGGTGTACATTTTGCTTTCCAGAAAGTAAACCCTGTCACTCATGGTAACTTACCCACTGGCCTACAGAGGAGCTCCAGCCAACAATGCAGGACTCCAGCCAAGAATGGGAACGGATGCGCGATCCTTTCAGGACAGTGCAACGCTTGATCCGAACCCCATCCTCTATCACCACACCTGCTCCAATAGTGACATTGGGACCAATACTGCAGTTTGCTCCGATCTTGGCAGTTGGGTCCTAGAGAGGAAGAAAAGCTAGCATGAAAGCTGTAGTGTTGCTCTGAGCAGCTTTGGACTCCTTGAGTAGGGAAGTAAATTCCATCTCTGAGGAAACCAGGAAGTTTCACAGATTGTTAGATAAGATTCCCATATAGCCTCAGGCCTCTCAATACAGCAGGCATATTCAGAGTTGTTGCACTACCCCTGTAATAGCTTCCCCACCAGTTCCAGACAAACCCCAGCTGCCCTATTGAAGATCTACTTGCTTTTCTACTCATCCCAAATGAGGGCCAATATGGACTTACCACGAGTACATTGCCCACAAAACCTGGTCCCGAGTGCAGCCGCTCTGGCTGCTTCAGCCGGAGAGACTGCAGATACATGCACATGCCAGTCAAGAAGTCTTTAGGTTGGCCAATGTCCATCCAGAACCCTGTGAAGACAAAGCTGCATTAATCCAACACCAGTCTCTTGGACTGAGCTTTCACTAGGTGTCACTGGCAGTAGCTGTAGTAGTGGGAAGAGCCGCAGTGCAGGAGAAGTAGGACTTCAGGCCTGGCAGACTTCTAGCATTTTCCTCTGGCATCTCTGCTCAAGAGACTGGAACTATCAGATGTGCTTATCTCCCCAGTGTGTCACAGTGCTCTACCTCAGACAGATTAACAACAGTGCTTCAGAGAATGAAAGCAGCTACAGCTAAGGAAACTGTCCATGCATGCTGGAGAAAGTTCTTTTGAAATTCATAATTAAGAGCTTTCATTACCACGATCTTGTAAGGGCAAGTTATAAATGCTATGTAATGTGCTAAATGAGTTTTTCTTGGACTTTTGACCTGTGTTGTGACATGTTGGTAAAACCTCCAACAAACACAATTAAAATCCTGTCTCTCTACCTTGTTTTGCTTCTCGGCTTCACCTTTCAGTAGTCCTGTATCGTCATTGTCTCAAATGGCACTTCTGTACCTTTAAGTTTTAAGAGCCCCTTAGAGTGCAATTTCAAATCTATCACTGTGCCAGGCTACGATTCTTACCTTGTAACTCCATGGCGTAGAGCTGCCCTTGTTCTGCCATCACCGGGAAGACTTCCTTCTCAATCGAGGTAGGTTGCAGCTAGGAGAAAATAAGAGTTCAGTCAACTGCATACTCCTGATGTAGGAGTTCAAGATGCACAGTTCCTTGGATCAGCTATGACAGAAGGTACCTGGCCAGAATCTTTGTCCTATGCATTATGCCCTTTGAATCCAACATAGTTTAAAACTTGCAAATGGTAAGGCTGGGTTCTACAAGGCTTCCAGCCCAAGATGTGAAAGCAACTCATCTTGCACGGGGTAGCACAAAGTCATGGCCTCAGGCACTTCAACTCATCTGCCCTCGGACAGATCCCCTGATACTTTTCATGTCACCTACCTGTATTCTCTCTAGCACACTTGGGTTGAAGATGTACATGCCAGCATTGATCTTATTAGAGACAAAAACCTGGGGTTTCTCCACAAAGCGGTGTATGCGCCCAGTATCAGCTTCACACACCACTACACCATATTTTGAGGGCTCCTCCACCCTGGTCACCTGCAAAGCAGCAAAGTCAGCATCAGACCCAGATATTACAGTCAAAGAGTCAACCACATGCCACAGAAATACCTCAAAAGTGACAGGTTCTTCCTATTCCACGATTTTTATCCTGATCTCATTTTATATGTTTTAAAAGGACTCCATGTGCAGGAGAAAAGGTAGAAGTAGGGCTAAGTACACAATGAGTAGTTTCAGTCCAATTCCATTTTTTCCACTCAGTATAGAGATAAAACAAGACCTTGTGGATATGCAGTTCTTTCTCATAAGAATAAGTACCTTTTGTTAAGTAAAGCATTCTCCCAGGCATACGAACAAGAGAGAGGTAAACAGAGTGTTTACTTATTTTAAAAGTAGTTTTGTTTGGGTTGTGCAGACAGTTTACATCAAAGCTGGTGGAAGCAACAGAGCTTTTGCTCCCATTCCCCCAAAGATAATTGGAATTCTGGCAGCTCCACAACCAGTAAGGTAAAGGTAAAGGTTCCCTTGCTTGAAAGCCAGTCGAATCCGACTCTAGGGTTGCGGTGCTCATCTCCATTTCAAAGCCGAAGAGCCAGCGCTGTCCGAAGACGTTTCTGTGGTCATGTGGCCGGCATGACTAAACACCAAGGCGCACGGAACGCTGTTACCTTCCCACCGAAGTGGTACCTATTTATTTACTTGCAATTTCTTGCTTTCAAACTGCTAGGTTGGCAGGAGCTGGAACTAGAGACAGGAGCTCACCCTGTCTTGCGGCACCCGGGTCTTGAACTGCTGAACTACTGACCTTCCACAGCCTGCAGTTCAGCGTCTTAACCACTTGAGCCACAACCAGTAGAGGAACATGAATCTGCCTTACACTGAAACAGACCCTTAGTCCATCAAAGTCCGTATTGTCTACTCAGACTGACAGCAGCTCTCCAAGGTCTCAGGCAGTGGTCTTTCACATCACCTATTGCCAGATTTTTTTAACTGGAGATGCCGGGGATTGAAGCTGGGACCTTCTGCATGACAAACAGATGCTCTACCACTGGGCCATGGCCCTTCCCCAAGACGCAGGAATCCTCATAAAATCCAAAGCCACAAAGAGCATCACTTGCATGCAGCTGATACACCTCTGATATTTACCACAATGGTACCCTCTTTGCCGTGATGCCTGTGGAAGCGCACCATGTCTGTAAATGGGAAGTCACAAATCACATCACTGTTGAGAACGAAAAAAGGCTCAGAATTCTCAGTCAACAGCTCTTGAGCCAGTGCCAGTGGGCCAGCTGTAGAAGGAAAAGGGATCATTAGTATGTAATGCTTATCTGTGAATTCTTCAACAACTGTAGCCAGCATGCATGCCTCAATCCAATTCGGGAAGTTCATTTAATATACAGTAGCCTGAAATAACTAGTCAAATCCTCACCTGCATAGAGGACAAGATCTATAGGGCTGCTGCAGTTCTATATCGTGATCCCAAACTGCCTCCCCACAATCTCTCTAGTGGAAGCACTTACCTGTGCCCAGTGGTTCCTTCTCATGCGACAGGGAAATACGTATGCTCAACTGGAAAACAAAGCAGACAGTATGGAAAGTGAGATGAGCACTAACAATTTAATGTGTTTGCGTCTGTTACCCTCAACACAGTCACCTGAAAACCCATACACTCTTCTCATCAGACTTCCAAATCTCTGTCAAATAGGACAACATAATGGTTCACCTTCATGAAGACATTTCCTTGTCATTATGATAGCTACATCAATATCGCTCACTGCTTTATGATGAGATGTAGATACTCACTTTATTCTAATGATGCTGCAAATGAACAGCATGAGTTAGACAAGACAGCAGAACTTGATATGGGCTCCCACACTGTGCTGTTGCTTTAACATCCAAATCCAAAACTCTTATTTGGAAGATTTTTAAGAATCAGTTCAAATTGCCTGAGATCAATAAGGTGCTGTCTCACTAAAAGCCAATGTGATGCAGTGATTAGATTGTTAGACTACCATATAGGAAACCAAAGTTCAAATCTCCACTCTGCCACTGAACAGGGGCCAGTCGCATACTCAGCCTAACTTACCTAACAGAAGGATAAATTGGAGGAGAGAATTATGTAAGCTGCTTTAGGATCACATTGGAGAGAAAAGCAGGGTATAAATGAAGTAAATAAGTAAAAATAAATAAATAGAAAAATAATGAGAAAGGTTTGTGGCCACAGCAACCCACTACTGAAACATATCAGGCCTACTGAAAACGGGGGGGTAGCCAGGAGAAGATTATATAACAGCTCTCAAATAATTAACTATGAAATCCTGTTTTTAAGCTGGTGTGACAGTTAACTCAGTTACAGAAACCTACAGAGAAGAAGGTAACAGTACCGAGAAAAAGGCCATGCCCTACTTTTTCTAGTGTAGGGTGGAGACTGTATTTAAAGCCATGCCTCCATTAAGGAAATGGATTATTAGTTTGGCTTTGTCAACCTTAATTAAAAAGCAGAGTGTAGATTATGTTTCAATTAAGCTAGGCAGTTAAACTCATACACTGTCTGGTAACACAGCTAATGGGTTTTACAGTGCTCTGTGGAAGCCATACGGCAGTAGGTAAAAGGTCACCGAGCCACATGCTTAGGTGGCAACCCATTCATATTAGGCAAGAATACTTTAAAATGTGCAGAAGAGTCAGAGCTGCTTTCTTCTTATGTTGATTTACATTTTACTTCCTTTTCCAAACATAGCCACTAATCCACTTTTTCAAAGCAGGGGAACTTTAAAACTTTTTTTCTTGCCTGCTTTCCTTTTGAAATAGAGCCACTCTAAGCCCCTTTTACGTACAATGGGGAAAACTTATGGGTACCTATATTTTCTACAGGTGGCTAGCCATGTTTGTTTGAAGCAACAGAACAAAGTCTGAGTCCAGTGGCATTTCTAAGACCAACAAAGTTTAATTCTAGGTATAAGCTTTTGTGTGATGAAGTGTGCATGCACACAAAAGCTTATACCCAGAATTAAACTTTGTTGGTCTAAAATCTGCCACTGGACTCAAACTTTGTTCTATATTTTCTATCGTCAGAATACAAGCAGACCAAAGGACAGTCTTGTTGGAAAGGACAGAGAAGGAAACAGTTAAAGAATCATTTGAGCTTTTGATCCATGCTGATTTACTGTTCTCATTCTAGCCAGCTCACTCAAACAACCTGAAAATTGTTCAACCTACAATACATACCTTTTGTTCTTGCTCCTTCATTTCCTTCTCCAGCAGTTCTGACATATAGCTGACAGCAAGTATCACATGGTTTACACCTGCCTGTCAAAACAGGTGGAGGAAGTAAGGATCCAGTGATAATTCCAAGCCCAAGCATTGATTCACACAACTGTTTCAACAAATTATGTATTAAAATTGCCATATCCAAGAAAAACCTATGACAGAAACAGGGAAGTTTCATTGCCAGTTAGAATCCAGCTAACTAGGTAAGAGAAATGTTGGAGATTCTAGGAGTCGACTACAAAAGGTTTTGCTGAAAGAGAAATGAGGGTTTTTAATCCTCTCTTTGTCATCTCACTTTACAGGGCAACACCCAAGCTAATCAGCTATTCATATGCATGCATTCCCTTCTAAATAGTAAAAGAAACATTGCCTGAATTTAGACACCTACTTCTGATACTTTCTCTCAAGCTTCTTCCTCTAACTATGGCATCAGATATCACACAAGCACATCAATCCCTACTATCCAAAAAGAAATTATCTCCTGGGACAGTAGAGAGCATAAATCAGATTACACATTCCCAGTGTGTTTCCCCCTACCCGTAGGGTCTCTCTTTTTTGACCATGGTACTGTGCCTTTCCAAGGAACACATAAGGAAGAAATTCAGTAGATGCCTCCTGCGTGTTGATTTTCTGCCTATCACATGGCTCTTAACAGCACAGAGCTGCTTTCGGGAAAACTGAAAAAAGCTTCGTCTTCCCTTACAGCAGAGGAGCAAACTCAGTCTTACCTTCACTAAGGCCTCCACCTGATGCAACAGGATGGGTTTGTTACAGAACTCCACAAGGGGCTTGGGTGTGCTGAGTGTCAAAGGCCGCAATCGGGTGCCATAGCCTCCCACCAAGATCAGTGCCTTCATCCTTGCCTAGAGGATTGGAAAGAAGGCGTCAGAAGGTACGCCAGGCCAGAGGCTCTTTCTCCAGCCTCGCTGTCCACACTCCTCCTTGCTTCCTTGTCCCGCTCAGATACACAGGACTTGCCAGAGGAACTTCAAGCCCTTGGCCTTGCACCGGGTCTAGACGCCGGATCCTGCCTACTCAAGTTCAGCCGGATCCTGCCCCCCACCCACTCCGGATTCTCACCTGCCGCTCCCGACCCAGCCCAGAGGCTCCTCCCCACCCAGCGAGAAAGATTCGGCCTCCAGAACATTTCCGTCAATCTCCCGTTCGAACTAATTGACCAATCAGGGGACGCAACGTGTCCTAGCTATCCAGGGAACCAATGGTTACTGAGATTCACCGGATTTGCCGGCCAATCAGGTGCAAACTTTCGCGTTGCCGCAGCAACACGGAAACAACAAAAAGGCGCCGGTGTCGTCATTCAAAAGCGCCAGAATTACCCTAGTGGACACGTCTCTCTCTGTACCATGAAGCGGCGCACACGTTTTAAAGTATAAGCCCCGCCCTTCTAAGCGCCGCCTCCTAATTTGAGACTTGTGACGTAATCAGTGTGCGCTATGACGCTACCCCCTAGCAACAAAGGTTTCCCTGTGGGAAAGCTTCGTTCCGTAGCGGCACCATTTGTGTTACGCGATGCTGCCATTCTTGTAGAAGTCTTGTTGGTGCTGGATGGCATTTGTGGCGTGAAGCGGTGTCTCCTTCCTTAGCTGACAGCGGAAGAAGGACTGGAGAGCCGCAGCTGTGCCAGGAGCAGGCGAGTCATATGCCAGGGTCAGCAGTCGCTCTAGGTGGGGCCATTGTACGCTTACCTTCTCCGCCCCCTGTTTGGCCGGGTGGTCTGTCTCTTGGTATGGGTAGCTCCCCTTTGGCGCTTTCCTTTGCCAACTACACGCGGGGACTGTAGTGCTGAGCGCGGAACATCGTTTATAAATTGCCCCAAATAGGGTTAGATTCGAGTCCAGTAGCACCTTAGAGGCCAATAAGAGTTCCAGAGTATAACCTTTCGAGAGTTCAAAGCTCCCAACGTTCTGCAGCATTTCCGATTGCGTTTCTGTGCATGTTTGCCAGGAAGTGTGTGACACCCGGTTTTGTGGGGTTTACTCCTGAGTAATGTTGAATAGATCTGACGTTACTCGGTTATTGGAGCCTGTGCTTCCATCTACTGCAGCAGGACTTCCATTAGCTACCAGGTTACAAGTTGGCCTGTGAAACTCTCTGCGTTCGTAGTGCCCCCCCCCCTGTTTATGGTACTTAGTAAAATGGAATTTCTTGTGTTCTGGAGTGTGGATGTAAGTATTATGTGTCGCTGAACTGAGCCTGTGGTTCTTTTCCAGTATGGGGACGATGGCCCTTGAGCCCTCACCATGCACCATCAAAAGCCCAGTCATGCTGCAAGTGGGTGACATGAGGACTGAGCTAGGCCGGCCAGGTGTTGCGGTGATTGATGTGATACTACCACACTCTCAGACCATTGATGTGAGTATGAGCAATGAATACATTGTGGTGTAATCATAAACCTGTGATTACACATTGGATTGCACTGTAAGAGTTTGATCAGTGCATTTTATGCTTCAGATCTCATCTCTGCATTAAAAGAATAACGTAAGACCAGTCAGTTTCTGCCTGAAAAGATTTGTTTATTGATCAGCAATTGAATGAGAAGTTGCTAGCAGCTATGTACTGGCAAGTTCTAATTTCACCTTTGACTGTTATTAGTTTATACATATTTACTACACAGCTTGTTGGTTCACTAATATACCTCTTGAAATTTAACTCTTTACAGTCATTAAGAGGCAATCACACATGCATATCATTGATATTTCAGTGGACAGTAGACATAATTGTATAGATTACAACTGAAAAGAGCAGGAATACACTGAGGAAGTACGAGGTGAAACAAAAAAGTCTTCACCTGCTGATGGAAGACTGTGATAGAAGGGAACAGACAATAAACCTAAACAGGGAGTTCCATAATTTTGGTGTTGACAAAGAAGGCCCTCTCTTTGGTTGCCATTCATCTAGCCTCAGAAGGCGAGGGCATCCAAAACAGGGTCTCAGAAGATTACCATAACTGCTGGTAGGTTTGTATGGGAGTAGGCCGTCCTTAATATATGCTGGTCCCAAACAGTGCTTGATATACTTCTGTTGCACTCAGCTTAACTCTGCTGAGTGGGCTGCAGTGCTGTAGGTTGCTTTTTGGAATTCTAAGAAGACCAAGACCACTATACACACGTGAGTTTAGATTTATGAATCAAACAGGTTTATGAAGCACAATAGCATGCTACACTAGCAATCAGCAATTAATAAAGTAAAAATATACAGAACACGTCATTACTTCACCCATGGGAATTAAGGTTACCAACTGAAGCTACATGGTGGCCTCGCTAGTCAGTTCAGAGGCGGAAAGTCTGGTCTTCTCAGGGATGGCAGGGAGGAAGCTTAGCATGTACAGTTGTCCTTAGCTTTGCTGCTGCTGTGGTTTCAGAGTGTAGAAACAATGTCTTGGGACTGCATCTTTCTGTCTATGCTTCTTTCCCTGGATTGCTCTGTACTTCCATTGACTAGATCGTCAACTTTTAAAGAGAAATGTTTCTGTTCCTTTTAATGGAGAGATTAAACGTTCAATTATACCTTCCCCTTGTGGCTATTACTTTTGAGCATATTCTGACCACATTTTGTCTAAGGTAAACATGTTTTCACATGTACATGTGAACTTGAAGAAAAGGCTTTAACAAGATGTAGTTACTCCTGTTCCATCCTTCTCCCGTCTTTGTATGTTGCTTGAAGAAGCAGTGTTCTATTCTAAATGCTTTGCATAAGGTGTACCCTGGTTTTCCAGACATTTGTTCCAGAGACTCTTCTGGTCACTTTAGCTAGGTTAACCACAGATTGCTTAACTTCTCTTTTTCTCTTGCTTCCAAACATTGACCAGAGGGTTGTTTGGTCACTGGCTCTGTCGTATTCTTAACCTCAACTTCACAACTTCCCCTTTTTGACACAGGAGCCTTTTTTCAGCTACAAATCTTCCTTTTCTCAGCTGTAATCTTTAAGGCTTTTGATTCCTTAGCCAAGTTCTGACTTGGTCTGAGGCAGGCGTTCTTGAGCCCTTGAAGTTTAGGTGTTCCCATTACACTGCAGAGGATGGAATGGGCAGGGCCTCCATAAATTGCTTTTCCCCCCGGATATTCTATTTCTGGTCTTCATTTCAGTTGCAGGAAATTGTATTCAAGAACTATTACACAGCTTTTTTGAGCCTGCGGGTGCTGCGCCAAAGTTCCACAGGTGGTGGAGATGAAAGTCCTTCCAAGTGGGTTACCTGTCTGCGAAACTATTGCTTGATGCCTCACCCGCACACAGAGGAAGGCTCACAGGACTACTTCTCTGTTTCTAGGCATCAGGTCAGGATTTCAGCTTCGTTTGGTATTTCACCTATGCTGATATTTGATCCTCCCTACTATCTTGTAAGGTGTTTCCTGCCTGACATCCCAGCCTGTGCTCTACGCAGTGTCCTTATTTTTCCTACAGCATGGCATAAATATCACTCGGTGAATGTTGTAGGTCCCTGTTCTAACTGCCCACAGTGCACCTTTCAGCTCAAGTCATTCATGAGGCTGTTCTGGCCAAGCTGCCGCTTGATAACCAAAAAGGTTGAAACAAAGACAAAGAAAGTAAAATATAACCATGCACATAGTGTACAAAATGTAATATATAGTTTAACAATACAATCACGAGTGATAAAGTATCATTTAAAAACAACAGTCCTGTGCTTAAGCATGTAAGTACCTAATCCCAATATAAAGACAAATGTCCATTCATATAAATACAGGCCGTTGGAGCTTTGAGCATTGCAAGATTGGACCTAAGAAGATCCACTGGCTTATGAAATATTTTACATCTTGATGAGTTGCCCATGTTGTATCTCAAGAATATTTGACACCCCTTACTCCACGTATGAACATCTCAGTGTGAAAGGTCCATTCTGTGTATGATCAGTTTTATGTATAACTTTGTTAAATTAATAGAGTGCTCAGTTTGAATTATACCACTGAGGAAGGCTTATTGCTGAAACATGCTTGGTATTAGTTTTTGCATATGGAGACATTATGTACCTAACCTGTATTTGTATGAGTGGACACCTCTCTTTATATTGGGATTAGGTGCTTATATGCTTAACCATAGGGTTGCTGTTTTTAAATTATATTTTAGCACTCGTGATTGTATTTTTAAATGTTATATTATATTCTGTATATTTGCACCACGTGCATAGTTATATTTTACTGTCTTCTTTTTTTAACATTTTGATTACCTTTCTTGTGCAGGGTTGTGTTTTTCTCCCCGTTTTGGTTGTACTCAGGCTGCTGTTTGGCTCCTTAGGGGTTGCAGCCAGTGAGAGTTCATTCTCTAGGGAAATGCAGAAAGCCAGTTTGGTGTAGTGGTTAAGTGTGCGGACTCTAATCTGGGAGAACCGGGTTTGATTCCCCACTCCTCCACTTGCACCTGCTGATGTGACCTTGGGTCAGTCGCAAGCTCTGGCACAGCTGTCCTTGAAAAAGAGCAGTTTGTGTCAGAGTTCTCTCAGCCCCACCCACCTCACAGGGTGTCTGTTGTGGGGAGGGGAAGGGAGAGGAGTTTGTAAGCCGCTCTGAGACTCCAAGTGAAGGACGGGGTATAAATCCAATCTCTTCTTCATCTTCTCTTCTTTGTGCAGATAACCACTTATAAAAAGCAAATTATTAATGTTGGGAAAGATAGCCAAACTCCATTTTATACTCTTGACATTTCGGTGAGCTTTGTTACTCCTCACCGTCTTGCCTTGGAGTTGGCTTACTGGTAGATAAATTGAGCAAGTCGAACAGTTATGATGGGTGTGCACTTTTTTAAAATGAATGTTCATTTATGTAGCATTGTTACTGTGCAAGGGATCTGTTTCTACCCTTGCAAGCCTCTCTTTGAGGTAGGTCATTATAGTTCCTTTAACTGAGGAAATGGGCAAGCTGAAGTGGAGAGCTGGCAACATGGTTACTGAAGGACTGTTACTCCCTGATGGGAACCTATGTGGCAGTTGTGTTCCTTGCAACAGGATCTCCTACTAGTGCCTTGTCTTGCAAGGTCATGATCTGTTATGGCCAGGGCCTTTTCTGTTTCTGCACTGCCACTGTACTATCGCTTCTCAGAAGGAGTAAGGCAGGTACTATCCAGCAAGCTTGTAAAACAGCTATTTAAGAGAGCTTCTGGGGCAGCTTTAAGACTATAGGTGTGGTCTCTGATGTGTATTGTTGTATAATATCTGCTGTTACCTGCCCTGAGTCCTGACAGTATTGGAAGAAAAATGAGGTGTCTAAATGCCTTAAAAAATTTTGTCAGAGTCTGCCCAGCAAGTCTGTGGTTGAGCCAAGAGTTGACCAAACCTTCAGTGTCCATGTATTGAACAATTCTGTTTTTCTGAACCACAACTTGGCCTTTATTCTTAGAACTTTTGATGGTGTTGCCCATTTGGAATCTTTTTATATTTTTCGTATCCTGAGTTTTTTCTTAGTAGTGCTGTGAGTGGTAGACTGTGTAGTTACTTGGGTAATGCTAGCCCTCTGGGATTGTGAATGACAATTTAGCGTGCTCTTCAAGGAAGAATTTATTAGAAACACAGTTCTGTAGGTAAAAGGAGCTCCCTTGTGAAAAGGTTTCCAGCCCTGTCTCTAAAAGGAACAGAGCCTTTGCACCCATAATTTATTGACGCCAGCACTGCAGTAATCATCTGCCTATCCTATCCTAGTGAACTGTACCAGCTCCATCAAAAGTTAACTAGTGCACCCCACTTTTATAGCTGTAACACAGTAACTTCTGTACCTTTCCACCTTCTGTGATCAACAAGTGCTTCAGCTCTGTTACCATCTACTTCCTCCTGCAGTTGCATTCACTTATGCTTCCCTTGCTGTTTTGCTAGATGCTTTGTGATATGGACCGGGTGGCTGCCATACGTCTGATCCTACGTCAGCCTTCTCCAGTGTGGCTGCATTTCAGCATCGAGGAGCTACAACTCTTCCCTGGGAATCAGAAGGTGCATGCGCAGCCCCTTGTCAAGGCACCTTTCCCTTACATAGCCATTATTTTCATCCTTGTTGGGTCTTAGGATGGCTTACTGAGTTACGGGGTCAGGGGAAGACTTCATTAGAAGGAGGTCCAGAATCTTGCTTGGTTGTTCCACTGGGAACCCAAAAGAGCTTAGATTGTTCTCCTGTCCTCCATATTATCCTCACCACATCCTGTGAGGTAGGTTGGGTTGAGCGTGCGTGACTGGCCCGAGGTCTCTCAGGCTTCCATAATAGAGTGACATTTTGAAGGATCTCCCAGATCCAACACTAACCACTAAAACACACTGGTTCTTTTTGCATGATTAGCTGCTTTTAGGCTCTGTCACTTGAATTTACCCTCATTCTAAATTTGAGAGGACGCTATACCTAAATATTTTCCACTGATTCAAAGGTGCCATGCCTGTTCTGATATTATTCTGCTTCTGTGGGGTTAAGTCGTCATGACTGCCTACACTGCACCTTTCAGCTCAAGCCATTACTGATACTTGAATGTTACTTATTCAACTGCTTGGCCTGAGCTTTCTTTGAGATGCAGCTGTCCTTTTCTGAAGCCAATATCCTTCCCCCTCCCCATGCCCAAAGACCTCTGTCCAGCAAATTGTATGAGATACTAGGTTGTTTCTGGAATGTGCATCTAAAAATAAATTCGATATCTCCTTGGGAACAGTTGAGGCAAATATTTATAGAGGTCCCTCATGACCTTTTGCCTTTCTGTGCGTAGCCTGTTCTGAGAGACAGAGTGAAATACTAAACTGGGGGAGGTGGCTTAGCATGCTGGGCTGTGTATGTGTGTTTGTGTACTCACAAGTGTGCAAGTGCAAGCCTTGCGTCAACCTGAATCTGGGGCTGTTTTGTCTTCTAGAGTCCACAGAAAGGCTTTCCAGCCTGGCTTTCATGCCCATCTCAGGAACGGCCGGCCAGCCTGCATGATGTGAGTACTGTCACTGAGACCAGGGCCTGCCACCACAAGGATATACCCCACTAATCCCTCAGGAATTTGGGTCCCTGCCTACCATTTGGGATTGCTAATGGGAAACTGGGGCAGCCAGTGCATTTCAGGCCGGTCCTAGTCTTGGATGGAGAAGTTGACTCCTTTTCTCTGGTTTCTCGTATCTGCAAACCCTGATGCCATCAGCTCTGCCCCACCCAGACATGCCATCCTCACATTGCCCGTGGAGCATCTGGGGTTTAGAACACAAGACAAGCCAGTGTCGGATCAGACCATCCAGTCCAACACTCTGTCACACAGTGGCCAAAAATACCAGGTGCCATCAGGAGGTCCATCAGTGGGGCCAGGACACGAGAAGCCCTCCCACTGTTGCCCCCCCTCAAAGCACCAAGAATACAGTGCATCCCTTGCCCCAGACTGAGAATTCCTATCTATACCACGTGGCTAATAGCCACTGATGGACCTCTGCTCCATTTGTTTATCCAATTCCCTCTTGAATCCGTCCATGCTTGAAGCCGCCACCACCTCCTGTGGCAGTGAATTCCATATGTTAATCACCCTTTGGGTGAAGAAGTACTTCCTTTTATTTGATCTAACCCGACTGCTCAGCAGTTTCATTGAGCGCTATTCTGAGCAATCAACTGTTTATTTCCTTTTAATATCTCTTGCTTCAACTTGTTTTGGAAGGGCTGTTGGACATATTACTGTATAGTAGGGTGGGGGTGCAATGGCAGATTAGTCTCCCTTCCTCTCCTTTAGCCAGCACAGTAGGGAAGGGCAGAAAATGAGTGAGAACAAGGTGCTGTGTATGGCTAATCAGAAGCATGACACCTTAGATACCATTTGTCTGGGGTTGGTGTATGTTCAGCTCTTGGTGGGGAGTAGCTTCCAGGTGGATGTGGTGTTGGCGTCAAAGATGAAAAGTGAAGACGTCAATGAAGAAAGAATGGATGAACTTCCCCGGAGTTACCACTCGTTTCGAATTTTCTTTTTCATACATAAGATCTCCTATCAAGAAACATATCCATTACTCAAAACAGGAAGTCATCCCAGCCACAATACATTATGACAATAAATTTCCAAGCATACATACAGCTCTGCATCCACATAATCACAAGGTTTCCAAATTGGACTCTTTCTAGTTCTATAAATAAAAATAATATTACATTCATTACTTGTTGTTTTATTCAAATTTTGCATAACACATAGATAAAAATGAATTCTTACCCTAAATACTTCAAAAGTAACTCACATCAGGCTCTTAGCCAATATATCTAACCCGGGCTGATCAGCCTTAGCCATTGTATTTCGTTCCAAACCTTATATTACTACTGAGGTGTCTCTTGTAACGATGTTGCCAACATACTGTGCATTTAACTACATATCTAACAACCGACCATCAAAGGATAATTGGTATATACAAACAGTTCATGTAAGAACAGTTCATGTAAGAAAACAGGTCAGTTGTTAGATATGAATGTATAGGAGATCTTATGTATGAAAAAGAAAATTCGAAACAAGTGGTAACTCCGGGGAAGTTCATCCATTCTTTCTTCATTGACGTCTTCACTTTTCATCTTTGACGTCTTCACTGTTGAAAAGAGATTAAAACAATGGACTGATTACATTTTGACTGCATGTTATATTGGATTCTATAATATTTGCACGTTTTGCAGTAATTCTATTGTAATTATTATTGTCATACTGCTACCCCCTCCATCTATTGGATGTGGTGTTGGATCAACAAAAGCAAGGGAGAAGCTACTGATCTGAAGAACTGTTCTTTGCTTTCAGGGACTCCCTGATGCTGACAAAGTGTCTTCTGAAGTGCAGCAAATGTGGGTTCTAACGGAGATGCTCCAAGCCAGCCAGCCAGCAGCAGAGATTGGACGTTTTGATGTTAGTTATCGCTTGCTTATGCTCAGTACTTGGTGGCAAGGGGTCCCTTCATTGCACTCCAGTCAGAATCCAAACACTGAAAGTGTGGTTAAAAGTGGTGTCCCTTCCAATTCACAGGTCCTTTTAGCTGTATGCCTAGGCTTCATTGAAAGAAATAGATGCTCGTAGGGCCTCTCTATGAAGATCAACTCTCCTGGATCAGACCAAAAGTCCTCTCTAGTTCATCATCCTGTTTTCAGCAGTAAATAGTCTGGTGCCCTGATGAGGGAACACCCTAGATGAAGGGAGTCTCCAGTTAGTGGAACTTCTTTTAAGATTTATTGTATTTGCATTCATTCTTCCAAGGATCTTGGGATGCGTTGCATGATATCTTCCTATTAACTCAAAGGAGATTAGCTGGGAGAAAGCAACTAATTCAAGGCCAACCTTCAGGGCTGGGTGGAAATTAGAAGCCAGCTCGTCTTGGCCCAGTACTACATTTATTAACCCACTGTGTATCTCCAAATATAGTGGTTAGGAGGACAGGAGTAGTGGCTCAGTTCAGGTGTAATATGGATTAAGTCCCAGCATGCAAGTATGAGACTCCAGTGTTTGGAATCTGGGTTTTCAGGGAAGGTCAGTTTAGATGTGATTGCAAACTGCTTTGCAGCAAAACTAGAAATAATTTATTAGCTGGCCACACACAGGGTCATTACATGAGCATAAGGATGACCTTGGATTCATTCACATAGTGCCAAATTGTGGTTTCCCTTTACATCTAAATTGAACCAATGGGGGGCAATCCCCCCCCTCAGCTTGCTGTGCTTTTACGAAAAATAATTGTTTGTGTCTGTTTTAGGTGGATGGCTGCTATGATCTCAACCTGCTTTCCTACACTTGAGCTGGGTTGAAAGCTGACAAGGTTCTCGAGCTGGATTCACTAGATCCCATCCCTGCCTTATTGAATTGGCTTGAGGCAGGAAGAAATGGACCAAGTCTGCTGCCTTCATGTCCTGACCCTTCTCCTCCCTGCTGTTTTGGGGTGGCCTTTCTAGGCCGTTCTTCAAAATGGGTTCTGTTCTGTCCTTTCTCCCCATCCCACACACCCCTGAGTCCTGTGTGGAGAACATTCTCATAACTCTGCATTTTGCACTGGCACTCGGAAAGTTGGGTTCCTCTTCCCCAAACTGCAGGTGTTGAATTTGGGAATTTGTTCAGTCTCCTAATCTTCTTTTCCAAGCTCTATTCTCTGCTGCATGTTCCCCACTGAGAGCAAAGGGAAGCATTCTTTTTCATTCAGAATCTGTCTCTGGCATGAGGATGGCCTGAGATGTTTGGAAATGGCCAGTCAGAGGGTGCTCTGTCCCCAACAGCAGGTTATGGAATTTGAAAGCAGAGTTCAGTTACAGATGTGGCTACCTCACAAGAAGCTATGTAGGTTTTGGGGTGTTTTTTTTTAATGCCTGAGTAGGAAAAGAAAAGGATATGTGGATAAGTTTTCAAGAGGCCGCCTCTTTACAAGTCTGTTTTCCTCTCTGGAGGAATGTGAATAGCTCCCTTGGTGATTATGCAGGGCTATCCCTGACACCACGCTGGAGCTGGCTGTGCCTACAAGGCAGTGAACATGATGTGCCCAGAAGGAAGTAATCTGCACTCATGATGTAGCTCTGTGCTGTGCATAATAAAACTAGCAGTACGTGGTTTCAGTTGATTGCTGAAGTACCCTGCCACATTCAGCAGGCACCGTGCTTAGAGGCTTCAGGGTACAAAGATTGCATTATACTGGAAAGCTTAAGCTCAGCTGTGCAGTGGGTTTACCTTCTAGAAAACACAGTTGCACCTCTCCTTACTTGCTGTCATCTATGCATTCCTAGATATTTTCTTGTTTGTTTCTGTCTCTGCTCTTCAGTTTACTCTTGCATAGCTGTAGCTGTTAATTGCCACTTCCTGCCCTCAGGGGTTGCTGATGGAGCACTTGAGAGAACAAATGACATTCGTGGTATACCAAGAACAGACTTGGCTGCCTTTTGGGAAATCGTTTTCCATCTTAATTCCCCATTTGCAAAGTGAGTTTGAAATTACACCCTGAGGAGGCTGTTATGAAGTGATAGTTACAAAGAATACCTAAGCACCTCACCTTTGGGGCACACTGTGTGATATTTATGTATCTGAATGGCCTAAAGCCACATGGCTTCTGCACATATGTCTTCCTTGTGGTTAGGGTACTTCTAGCAGTACATGCATGATTGGTAGCCATCAGACAGAGGAGGGTGTAGAATGACATGAATTGTTGGTGTTGGATGTATAGATGAAATTTGGTGTCTGTTGTTGGGAGCAGCCTTTGTAATGTTTCCTGTACCTCTAGATAACTCCCTTCTTATTTATTGTGAACTACTTATGTTATTTATAGTTGGAAGGGGGCCTGGTGGCCTTTATCCCATTGCACTGAACCAGATTTGGTTACCAAATCTTTCTCAATAGATGTTGATCTAGTTCAAATGGCTTCACCGCCTTGTATTGTGTTTATTGGGGGAAGAAGAGGGAATAAACACTCTGCAAAACAGTAGTTCTGCCTGTGCCATTAGTGAAGCCTTGTTTAGGTTGACTTATAAAATCTATCACGAGCCAGAAGAGAAGACTTCCAGGCTACATGGCAGGGGTAGGCTTTTCCATGTGCTGCTTGTCCATTGTGAATGGGGTCACAAATGTATTGTCAAGCTCTTGATTCGTTGAGGTAACTAAATGCAAATAAGGAGAATTCAAAATGGAGGGTGCAGAGTGTAATCAAGATGAAGGTGCTGACAGCCAATAGCCCATTCTGGAGAACATCTGCAGAAGAAGGAAGAATATCAATATCTCTTCCAGTTATCCAGTCCACTTTGCTTTTGGTTGCTGCCTCTTCTGTACAGAGTTTGATTTCTTCTTCTCCCTGAATCCATATGATGTGTTGTAATGTTCCACGTAAGAACTGACCCTTCATAATTCTAGATTCAAAGCCTTACTTCTAGTGCTACTTTCTGTTATTTCATAGTCCCTGGCTATGTGAAGAGTAAATATTTCAAAGGCCTCTAATTGGTTGTAGTATCCTCTGGGGCTTTTGATCAAATTAGCCATACTCCCTATAAAGTGCTCTCCTTGCTGTTGTCTTCCAAGCTGATGCTGCAATATATACTCCATTATTTACATATTGATTTTATGAAGATTCTTCTGATGTAAAAGGTTCATTAGGATGGAATCTATCCAGGTTTTTGAAATTAGTTTTTAAGTGGCAGCCTGAAACAGAATATGAAATTTAAGTGAGGCTTGTCCTCATGATATATGGAAATTGTCTCTGTGTTTATTGTGTATGCTCAAGTAATGATGAGGGCCATCTTCCTGCCAAGCACGCTATGAATGCTTCCCTAGATCCTAGTGTGATGTGCTAACTGCTGTAACCATGCTGGCATTTTACCACAGTATTCTACAGCCTGGTTATAGACCGTAAAATACATGGGCCAAATGGCTGTACTTGATCTGTTCCTGTCTGAAATTTGCCACATTTCAGAATGAATTTGTGACCTGTATAGCCCTAGTTTGTGTTGCTGTAAGTATAACTGTTCCCTGGAAGGCCAGATAATGAAACTGAAGCTCAAATACTTTGGCCACCAAATGAGAAGGGAGCACTCAATGGAGAAGACCCTGATGCTGGGAAAGATTGAAGGTCAAAGAAGACGGGGACGGCAAAAGAAGAGATGGTTAGACAGTGTCATCGACGCAACGAACATGAAACTGAGCCAACTTCAGAGGACGGCGGAAGACAGGAGGGCCTGGCGTGATCTGGTCCATGGGGTCGCGAAGAGTCGGACTCGACTGTGTGACTGAACAACAACAAGTGTACAAGGCTTTTGAAGTTCACTTTCAAAGTTCCAGCAAAAGAAACACGTTCTCTACATTATGTAGTATAAACTTACTGATGCAAATATTTTAGTTGCTTCAGGTAGTGACTCATTCCTGATGCCTTAAACAATTCAAATATTGTATTGTAATGAGCAGGCTGGTGGTTGTTCTGCAGTCAGTTGCATCTGTGGAAAGCAGTTTGCAACATACTCTAGCATCCGGAGAACCTTTCCTTTTAAAAATACATAGTTCTGTTCATTTTGGCTCAAAAAGATGGAAAAAATCTGAAAACAGCATGCAGGTAATGCTTACTGAAATTTCAGAGTAATACTAGCTTTAGTGGAGCAAAACAGCTTTGGCTGTACTGAATAAGAAACTAGAAGCTCTATGTAGGATATCAGGTACTGCAGATAACAAATTGAGGACCTTGTGCATTGAAATTAAGGGCTTCTAAGCCAGCAGGCATAAAGTTTCAACAGAGCAATGTAGCATAAATTGTTCATGTTTCCTTATTCAACTGGGGCCTTCTAAGGTAAGGAGTGTGGTCTCTACCTCCCTCCTCTATCATTTAGCAACAGAGAAAGTGGGGGTTACTTGGTAGTGAGAACCACAAGCCTACCTACCCAGTCTTGACCAGTCTTCATGTTCCGATGTTCCTAGGCTCAGTTGAAATCGAACCTTTTAACACCAAATGTCCTGGGACTGGTGCTCCTCCAGGTTCATCTTTTAGCTCTTGAACCTGCCTAGCAGTTAAGAACAACTCAGATCCTTCACTGTGTGTGAACTATGGAGGCAAAGTGGGTTTCTCCCAGAGAGAGGACCTCTTCTGTGGAAGTGCACAGGCTATTGCACTGGGCATCTTCATCCAGTTGCACCTCTGTTAACACCTGGCAAAGTCTTTCCTGTTCTCTTGTGCTTTTAATGGTATTTAAGATTCTTCTGCCTGGTCTTGCCTGGAGTCTGTTGAACGAAGTCACAGCTCAGTAGCAGAGCACATCTTAAAAGAACAGCTGGGTCGCTGGCATTTCTAGTTAAAAGGATCTCAGGAATGCTGACACAATGATCTAGACGGACCAATACTAAATAAAATAGTCTAAATAAAAGCAGTTTCATCCGTTCTTCGAGTGACAACACGGTCTGGCGGGGTGTAATTTGTCTTTTTTCAGCTCTCATGGGGATGGTCTCTGGACCCGACCACATGAATAGGCTTAATCTTCGTAATTTTCAGGAAGGTGCTCAGCCTCCCCCGGGAGCCACCCTTGCTCCTAGCAAAGCAATGCCTCTGGCCCAGCCCTAGCCCCCCCCCCCCCCGGAAATTGGAAAGTCTACACCCTTGCGGCTGCAACAACTGCGTGGTTACTCTTTAGAAGTGTGTGGGTGCCTCCTCGTTCGTGCAGGGTGAGAGAGCACTTTGATCGGTGGCCGGGGCCGGGACTACAGTTCCCAGACTCCTCCGGGTGATCGAGCTCAGGGGGCAGTGTCTGGCTGGGAGGGAGAAAAGATAGTAAAGTGTTGTCCAGCTATGTCGTAGGGGCGCTTGGTGGCTAGGAAAATGCTGCGGGCTGCGGTGCGGCTTGTGTCTCCGCGTTTGGGGTTCGGTGAGCCTACCCTATGTGCGAAGCGGGGCTACGCTGCTGGGCAGGTGAGCAGGGACACACACACCCCTTGGGGGAGAGAGGAATCTTGTGCAGGGTTGCTGCTTGCTTCTGGGACAAAGAGGCGCGTTAGGCTACAAGCCTAAGAACACTTGGCAGGGCGTAAGCACCGCTGAATAAAAGGAGGTTTGTTTGTTTAAAATAAACATGCCTAAAGCAGCGGTAGCGGAATGGTCCTGTGTCTACAGCAGGGCACGAAGCGGTCAATCCTTTGTGCTGGAGATAAAAGGGGAATTTCGGCTGAGAAAACTTCGAAGGGACTATAAATTCACATGTTTTAAATATAAATAAATATGTTCTTGGCCACGGCTGAATTTTAATTTGGGTGATCTTTTAGCCATTAGGAAGTCCAGTTGAATCACTGGATAATTGAAAACGGGAAGGCGCTCCTGGACAGAGAGCTTTGCTTTCACACTAGAAGAGAGTCTTGTAGCATCTTAAAGACTAACAAAATTTATGGTATGAGCTTTCGCGAGTCACGAGCAGTGGCTCACTAAAGCTCATACCCCACCACAAGTTTTGTTAGTCTTTAAAGTGTTACTGGGCTCTTACTCTTTTCTACTGCTACAGACAGACTAACACAGCTACCTACCTTGATTTTTCTTTCACACTGACAAACTGCAACCGGCCCTGGCAACTTCCCCTGCAGGGAAAAGAACTCCCAACTTCTCAGAAACTGACTGCTGTTTTGTGCGAGTTTCCTGAGATGTTGCTGAGAATGCTGATGTCTTTTGAACTGGGAATTAGATATCTGACCAAGGAGTCTTTCCCTGATGGTAAAAACGCTGCAAACTCCAAGAATCAAACAATCCCACTCCTTACTTGTAGCCTGTTTACAAGTTACAGTGAACACATGTACAATCTGTATACGGTGTACACTTGATTTTTTTAATAGGTCCATTGAGTAATCCTATTCAGGTACAGCTAAACCTGATTTAAACCCCACATTTATCCAGGTACTGGTCTCTGGTTCATTTGAACACGTCTCTTTCTTACAAACAGGCATACATACATGCAGGATATATAATGTGTGAATCAGGCCACAACAGGGAAAGCCATTGTTCTCTTAGCCTTACAATATTGGAGGGAGTAGCTATTTACATCTGCCCAAGGGGTATGTTCTATTAAGAAATATTTTGTTCAGTGATGCAGAATCTATAGCATGGCTGAACAAAATATTTATAGGGTGCAACTGAAGAAAATACCACTGTGAACAAAGAGAAGCCTTTCAAGTATGGGCCCAACTAGGAAGGACAGCTGGTAGCCTGCAATAGAAACATCCAAACTATCCCTATTAGTCAGTAGTTATAAAATTGCTATTTCCCACTGCTGTTGTCAGAGAATATTAGGGATGAGCACAGAGATAGGTCACTTCACATGGCTGGTGGTCTGTCTTGTGGAAGTATAGATCTACACTGTCCATTCTTTCAAATACCAACTGCTCTCCAGTTATTATTTTTTTTAACCATGAATGGTGCTGCTGTAAGAAATACTTTTAAGCACAGGTAGTTGTCATTACCTACTACACTGAGGAAAACTGAAAATGGGATTTATCTGGAGATAATCATGACAACTTTCAGCCATAAACATATAGCTAAGATCTTAACGGGGTGAGAAAGTGACACAGAGGAGACTTGCATACCTATGGGGGGGTCCAAAGGGCGAACAGTCTTTTTCCTCTTGACGTTGGGCTTGTGATAAAGCAGTAAGCAAACAAACCTCATTACAAAGGTCAGAGGCATTCAGATAGACAAGATTTACCCCCTGACCCCAAAGTACTCTTTCTAATGAAATAATACCAAGGTTGGTCTTTAGTATAATTCATTATAAAACATATGAGGTGGTCAGATGTGGCCATCCTTCCACCCTCTTCAAATGCTGTAATGCCAAAAGGTTATAACTTATTTCAGCATCTTTCTGAGGATAGAGGTGGATGCATGGGTAGATACTTATGCTGCACCTTATCTGGGTGGAATAAGATAAATAGGCTTCTGGATTGTATTACTTGAGGCTGCACATG